TTCAAAGCCAGGCTGGATGGGGCTTTGAGCAACCTGGTCTAGTGGAAGGTGTCCCTGCCCATGCAGGGTGGTTGAACTAGAAAATCTTTAAAGTCCCTTTCAACTTAAACCATTCTATGATAGTTGTTCCTCCAATCCTCCTCAAAATATGGTGACTACTCTCTTGCTACTTTCCTATGGAGAAAACCTGTTGCCAAATGTTGGAACTTGGCTTAAAAATCAGTGGCAGACTTTACTCTGTGTTGGCCCCATGGGAACATTGTGCTGTCTGTAAACTGGATTAGTGGTTTGCTATCCTTATGCGGTTAACACTTTGGCATTTCTTTTTTATTCTCATTCTATGTAATAGAAAAGACTAAGTTGGACAGCTCTGAAAAAAATTTCAGATATAAACCTTTGCTAGCAAAAAATCTATCAGCCTTGGTAAGATCTTCAGTTGAACTGTCAAAAGTAATTGAAAAGAGTATCCTTTCTTCCTTTAATACTTTAGTTGCTGCCTGCTTTCTATTTTCTCCAAAACTAGGGAGAGTAGAATTAACTTTCTTAAAAATGAGCTACTCTGAGTTGTTTCTTTCAGGATGTGCCCGTCAGATACGGGGGTAGCTCACTCCCTTTTGCAATGAAATGAATTCCACTGCATGTGCTCTGCAAAATTCCTGGCACAGCTTTTTCAGCACATGAGCACTAAGAATTAGCTTCCAGTGTTGCTAGGTGTGAGTATTTCTGACAGTGATTCCCCATTACTGCGTAAGCTTCTTGACTTTTAATGAGAGTGAAGCACCTGGTTGTCAGTGGCTTCAATGTATTGTTCTGTTTTCTTTTGGTTTTTTTATTCCTTACATAAATCAGATTTGCCAAACCAGTGTTCTCCCGATCCTTGTCATAAAGAGGGGACCGTCAAATGTGAAGATCTCAAGGGGGACTTCTATTGTGAATGCAAGCGTGGCTGGCAGGGAAAAACATGTGAAAAAGGTAACTGGGTTTTGTTATCTTTTATACCAGTAAAAAAGATGTATTGGGTTTTGCTATATTCTCAAATGGTCACTGATACTGTGCTGCACAATTCAAAAGTCACAGAATTGAACCTGGGTTACACAGCGCTCGTGTTTTTACCCTTCTGTGAATCAGGTATCTCTTTCACATCAACATTTTTTATATGACTTCAGTGTATCTCAGCTTGTTCTTGGCAAGGCCATCTAAGTAGTTGAGCTCCAACTTACCATCCCACCCCTCTGAAAGGGGCAGCAGGAGCAGAGTTGCCGTGGCTTTTCAAGCAGAACTGCCCCAACTGCTGCTGTGAACCCTGAAGTAACAGACGTGAGACTGCAGAGCCAGAGAAGCTGGCTTGTCTTCCTTTCTAGCACCCCCGCAATGGGAACAGTGATTTCAGCAGGCAAGTTGGGGTCTGACTCTGATGATGCACCAACTGAAGAAATTAGCCTGTTAAAGCCTCCTTGCTAGTAGGACCTTATTCCATGGCCACTTACATCCCACCGTGTATTTCCTCCAAAGACAATATTCAGGCAGAAGTTATTTGTGCAAGATGTTCCAGGCCCCAAGAGGGCTTTCTGTATTCCTTTGTGAAATAGTGAAGTTATCTTATCTTCCCTCCTCATGCTTTCTGGTTTCTTTTTTTCCCTTCTGCCTGCAAGGCTTCCTGTCAGGGCCACTGCTTTTCTGCCTGCCAATATTAAGCATTTGCCAGAAATCGCATTCAGCCAGTCCCGAATTGTGGCAACCAAGACAGCAGGAGATCCAAAGCCTCTCCTTCTGATGTAAATATTGTGGGGAGATTATAGGATCACTCACAAGCAGCTTATTTAAGCATTTGAGACAGTTGTTGGAGAAGTATACGGTCAGCTTTGAGAGCTCAGCAACTGATCAGTCTGAAGCATATCCCCTCTTTTTCTTATAAAATGCCATGAAATGTGCTGTTCTACCCATCAGCTAACTCTGGAGTTCCATATATAAGCAGGACATAGTGAGCAGGTCAGGCACATCGAGGGTGAAATTCAGGCTCTACTGAATTTAGTAGGCTTTTGCTGCTAACTTCAGTGGAGCACCATTTAGCTCACAGTGCTCAATAGCTGTGAACTTAAAACTTTTTGTGTTCTCATGAGTTCTGTAGTAGTAGGGATATATTGTTCTCATTTTATTTAAAGCTTTCATCCTGAACTTACTGGTCATAGTATAATTTTTAAAGTTCGTTATGATATAAAATACATTAGTTATAATCACTTTGCTTCTGCAAACAAATTCTTCACCTCCACAGTAACTAAAGATACTCTTTTGCATTCTCAGAGCTGTGAAGGAGATACTCAGTTACAGTTCCTTCTCTGTCTTTTTTTTTTTTTTAATTTAATGAATTTGAGCTAATGTACTTAAGTGTTTGAATGAAATGTTTGTGCTTTTTGTAATCATTGTGTTGCAGCAGTAATAGAGTTTCTTGTTTGGTCTTTCTCCTTCCCAGCTCCTATCCCACTCTCACCCTCCAGATTAATTGCAGAGGTGAAAAGCTGACTGTAACATTTTCTTTTGATGCAGATATTGATGAATGCAGGGTGCAGAACGGCGGCTGTAACCAGCTCTGTCTCAACAAGCTAGGCAGCTACCGTTGCTCATGCTACAGTGGCTACGCTCTTAAAGACAGCAAGACATGTGAAGGTAAGCTTTGCTGGGCCTCTCAGTTTGCTTCAGCGGATGCTTAGTGACTTGTGACTGTGTTTCGGAGAGCTGGGTGGCACTGAGCAGCCCTGCTCTCCTCCACAGCCCAGCAGAGACTTGCTGGTAGCTCCTGTTAGCTGCGCTCTGCTGGGGTTGTGCTGTGTGGTCCAGCCAGTGCTACATGCCGGGGCTTGTCGGCGGTCGCACCGTGCTGCTTTCCAATATCGTAACGCAGGCGTGATTCACAGAGGGTTTGTGGCTTGGACTGTGCTAAGCTGGCTTAGCTGATCAGTCCTCATATCCTGACATTGAGAGGAGGAAGGGCTGCCCAGATGCGTTGTTGTGATTCTTTCCAGTCCCACAGTGTTGTAGTATATGAGCCGTTTGTTTTTCTTTTGTGTGTTTCTTATTTTAATTTATTTTTCTCAATTTGGACATGTGCAGCAGCTAATGAATTCAGATAGATAGAGATGGATAAGCTCAGTGCAGCTGAATATTAATAGCTGTAGAAAGGCCCTAGTGAAGGTTGGCAACTCTTCTACACAGTAGCTGAGAATAGAAAGTGAGGATCTGAACTATCTGATTGAAACTGCAGAATGAATTTACATAACCAAAACTTAAGCAACTGAGATTTTAAAAGTGTTAAGAAACTGCATGCTGAGACACAGACTCATTATGATCACAGGTGACTATTAAAGTTACCTGTATCTCACGAAAAAACAGGCAAGTCTGTGTATATACCTCTTACAGATAGATGTGACAACGTATTTCTAAACAATTGGCATACCTGATCTGAACAACTTATTAATGCTACCAGCAACAGGACAAAGAGCAGGATTTTATTTCTGTGTCACTTCCAGTGTTTAAAGCGATGACTGTATAGATGACATGGTATCCCTTTCTAATGAGAGCAGCAGCTTAGAAGAGCCAAATTCCCTTTTGAGTTGTCTTCTGGTGCCAGTTGGCATGGATAGGTGGATGGCGAGTGGGCTCACAATTACATTTGTTTTTGTATGTATATTTGTATAATACCCTAGTACCGTCTATCAGAGCACTGTCAATGTGGTGTATAAGCATAGGACAGTTCACTCATATGTGGGAAAATCATAAAGTGTAACATGTAGTTGTAGTTTTAACATGTACTAGAAAGCAAAAGTAAATGTTACAACCATTTTGTTTTGCAAATGTTTTGTCAACACCAGGATTTTGCTGAGTATTAGTTAACGTGCTAGAAAAAACACTCGTTTGTTTTTATGGACCTCCAGTTGCAGTCCATTGCCTGCCTTCATGGTGCAGCCCCACAACATCTCTCAGACATGACTTGTTCTTTGTGGCAAATTGGGCTGCCTCAATTCCCCTTTACTACTACAGATCAGAAGATTTATATCTTAGTTTTGTGACTGCGTGAAAAATTATTGTTTGCCTTTCTGAGGAAGGGGAACAGAAATCTGTGATGCTCCACAGGCTGCATGTTCCTTCTGTGTTTTGGTAAAATTCATATTGCTGTTCCTCTTTTCCTGCTTGCTGCTTTTTCACCTGCAGTTTCAGCCCCCTCAATGGAACAAGGCTTTCTGGTTTTGTGGGAACTGTTTTTGTTTTACAATTTCACTCCTGGCTCACTTTGCATTGTTTTTTCCAATAGCAGTTAATGGCTTAAAGAAAGAAATAACAACTGGTTTTGAAAGCCTGAATCACTTCTTACAGCTAGTTAACCCGAAAGGTAGATTCTTAAAGGTACTGTTTTTTCAGTTATCAAAGTAATAGAGGGATATCTTGACCCTGAGCCCACTCCAGTGTTTGAACAGTGAAGTAATTATACTCATCTGCAGTCGTGTTGTTTAATTGCTTGTTTTGCAGACATAGATGAATGCACAGCATCAGCAGACATCTGTGGAGAAGCTCACTGTAAAAATTTAATAAGCTCATATGAATGTCTTTGTGATGAAGGCTACAAGTATGATGACGTAAGAAAGACTTGTCAGGGTAAGCTCATGAAATAACAGCATATTAGCATTTATTACATGATTTAAAGCTATAAAAAGAAAGAAATTTAATTTTCAGGTTTCAGTGAAAGCTTTTTTTTAATCTTTCTTACACATTGGACTTCTGTTCGCTTTCCCTAGTTGTAAGTGAGTCTGGAATTTGCGATCATCTTTGAGTTCATTGAGTTTGCAGTCATCTTTGATGACTTAAACCAAGCTGTACAAACCAAAGTACGGAGATTTCTTGAATTTGTGACAAGTACAAGAACTGGTAGAAGCTCAGAAGCATCTGTGCATGTTGCTGTCTCTATTTGTAGGACAAGAAAAGTTACAGAGCAGTAGCTGTTGTTCTTTCAAAACCTGTCTTGTGGTATTACTCTGAACTAGGAGCTTAATATTCATTGTCACCATGCACAGTTCTGCTGGCTGCACTGCCTGCAAGCTTTCTCAATGGAGTAAGTTTTGAAAGTATTCCAAAACTAGCATTGTTCCCTGCCTTTTGTCTAAGTTAACGTAATGACTGGAATCACACAGCAGCCAGCCCTACCAGGCTCTAAGTGTTTATTTATGCCTGAAGAGATCCCTATGGGCCATCACAATTTGTTTTCCTGCATTTGTTTGCAAAGCGGATAAAAACAAGCAGAAGGGAAAAAAAAAAGTAATAAATGAGAAACTCAGCTTTTACTTGTCTGTTGAGCATCCAGCTGCTGAGTAGTAATGAAGCAAGCAGCCCCTGAGTTGAAGGAACAGGAGCCAGTCAGCACAGGTATAGCAGAAGGGTCCTGAAGGGAGGAAGTCTTGTCTAGCAGTTAAAGCCCAGGGCTCTGCATCAGCAGACAAGGAGTTGAGCTGTGCTTCCAGCCTTCCCACTGACTTGCTGGGTATCTTTGGGCAGCTGGAATCTGTCTGTGAAAGTAGATCTGTGCAGATGCTAATTCTAAGTCTTCTCTCCTGTGAAGATGTGGCATAGGGTAAGTACTGGCTATGGAGTACTTGGGCATGCTGAAATGAAAGATGCTATAGAACAGCACTGATAACGTTTTTTACCCCCCAGATGGTTCACATTTAAACAAATGCAGTTACTGTTTTCTCCTCTCTTCTTTGCTGATTGTGTGTAGATATAAATGAATGTGAAGAAAAGCTTTGTGAACAGACCTGTGTCAACTCGCCAGGGAGTTATACCTGTCATTGCGATGGCAGAGGGGGAGTAAAACTTTCCCAGGACATGAATACATGTGAGGTATGTTTGTCTGCATTGCAGTAACTGCAGAACAGACCTTTATTTTACATTGCAATTAAGAATAACTGATGACGCTCTGGACCAAAGCCGTTTGAGCTGAGTGACCAACAGGAAGGAAGCATATTGGCAAGGCCATGTGAGCTGGGGACAGTTGCTCTCCTGAAGAGAAGACTCTTGTTAGCCTTTTTGGGAGGAAGTTCTTTCAGAGTCTCTCTTCTCATTCCCAAAGGAGCATGCTAGTGATAGCCCTGCCAGCCCTCTGTTTGGCTAAGAGTTACCTCTGGCTGCACAAGCTTTTCTGAGTTAGGCACAGTAGGACGGTGTGAAGGTCTCAGGGCATATGGTATAAGTGATGGACCAGCACTTGCACTTGACACTGTTGTCCTCCAGGCATTTGAGGTTGATGGGCTTCAGTGGCACAGGCTGCCTCTGCAGAAGCCGACCAACAGCAAGTTCATAGCACATCTTTTGTTGCAGGCATGACATTGCAATAGAAAATCTTATGCTGTACCTTACGAGTATGATTTCGTTTTGCAACAGGAAAACATTCCTCTGAGGCAGATAGGAGGGAGGAGGGAAGGAAAGAGGAAATGTTCTCAGTACCAAAACAACTGTATGTTGAGAGTATAAATATCAGAGTGCCCTAGCCTGCTATATGTATAGCAACTACATGAGAACAGAAGAGGAGGCATATTCTGATTCTGCTGTGTGAGGAGAATAAGCAGTCAAAAATGTGTTTTGGTTATAGAACATAATACCATGTGTGCCTTTTGCTGTTGGAAAAAGTATTAAATCCTTGTACCTGGGGAGGATGTTCAGCGGCACTCCTGTTATCAGGCTGCGCTTCAAAAGGAAACAACCAACGAGGTGAGGACAATTTAGAACGACGGTCGGGTGCGTTGTATGGCTTTAATGCATGCAGTGGAGTTAAGCCATTACAATAACACTTATTCCTATGATCATCCTTATTTGTTTGGGTTATGGAGGCCTGTAAAGTGAAACACTATCCAAAACAGTAATTGAGAAAGGCAGCTTTGACCGCAGAGCCCTTAGGGTAATTACTGAAATACAGTAATATAGTCTTTATTCTTGACGCTATTTTAAAATCCGTTTTCACAGCTTAAGTCTTTCAGGAGCGCATTAGAAGCTAGTATGTTTTAATGGAGCTTTATTACTGTTAGAATTGATGCTATCTGTATGGAAAGTACCCTGTGGTTTTTGAACTCTGCATAACTAACTTATTTCTTGGCACCTGTGCGGTCAGACTTGTGGCTGAGTTCGACTTTAGAACCTTTGATCCTGAAGGTATCCTTTTCTTTGCTGGAGGCCATCAAGACAGCACATGGGTAGTCTTGGCTTTGCGCAAAGGACGGCTAGAGCTGCAGCTGAAATACAACGGAATAGGCCGCGTGACCAGCAGCGGACCACTTATCAACCATGGCATGTGGCAAACGGTGAGTCCAGACCACTGCTGAGATCTTACCCTTTCTTGGCTTGTGACTGATGGGCTCTGTCAAGTGTGGCTAGACTTTGTGTATTCTTGACAACATGCTTTTCCAACCTGTCTATCCATTCAGTGCATGCATTATACATTTGAAGGTGAGAACAGGATCTTTTTCCTAACAAATTGAGTTATACTTTATATCCATTGTAAACTAGATGGCATCACTAATTTGCAGAACCAGAGTAGACACAGTGCCTTTGAGATGCAGCAGTGCTAAGCTGACTTCATGTCAGTTGGAGCAGATGCCTTCTAGGTGGGGCTGGAAGGGAGTAAGGGAGAAGGAACTCTGTAGCTCTTCTTTTAAGGAAGTTTCCAAGAGGGGTTTGTTTGCTGTATGGTGTGTGTAGTTGTTTTTGTTTCTTCATCTGTCTGTTTGTTTAGTCACAGGGCAATCTGAGCCCTTGACAAATCTCCTGTGCTACAGTATCCTTTTTTTAAACTCCTCAGCCTTGTTTATATACAAAATAGTCCACTTCCCTTGTAAAGATATTGGTGTCTATTAGAAACTAAGTGGATCTCTGCCTACTAATAACATAACCCCAGCAATCTCACCAGGCGAGGCACTGCATCTTGGAGCTTGTAAGGATTCATATTCTTGACGCTGTCTCAGAATGTCTTCTGGTGATTCTGGAACCATCATGGTGTTACCATTTGTTACAGGATCGTGAAAAGCGTCCTGTAGTATGATCTACACTAGATTAGCAATTTATATATGCATCTTCTGACTTACGCCTTTTCCCGTCCTTTCATTTTTTCTTACTTAATTAGATCTTTTGACTTTTAAGTTGATGTGTCTCTTGGGGAGTGGGCGGGAAGTTTTCAGCTAACACACATGAGACAAATACAGATGCTGGTAATGGAATGATTTTCTGTTTTAAATTTTCTAGTATTAAAAAATTCAGAATTCTACATTAAAGAAAAAAAGTAAGGTGGGAAAAATTTTGTTTCTAATGAATAAATAAAGAAGTCCTTGAGCACATTCACTGCCAACTACTGACATTTGGTAATATCTCCAGCAGATGAGGTGATGTTTAAATCAGTCCCTTTACTGTCACTGAAGCAATTTTAGATTCCAAATGGAGAGCTGTAGAGATTCAACAAAGCTGTAGATCAAATGTATGACATGCTGTATCATACAGCAGGTGGGAATAGCCTCAAGCCAGTTCTTACTAAATTTGTTCTAATCTTTGTCCTGCTAATTTGAAATATGGCAATTGTAATTGCCTGCATGGGGAGGATGGTGATGAAAGATGTGAAAAGCAGGGTTGATGCCACTGGGGTGACTCTTGAGTCACAAAAAGCAGTCATTACCGAGCTAAAGCATTTAACACAGGAGCGTAACATACTTGTTAAGCACCAGACCTTGCTATGAAGCAATTGCAAACTTTCCCATGTTAGTTTTGGGGGATATATCTGAAATGCGTTTTCTTTCTTCAAGTAATACGAAAGTGCTCAAACACGTAGGAGTTACAAGGAAAACAAAGGATGTGCTTGCTTTCTGCAGGGAGAGAAGGCAGAGTGATAACAGTAAGTATCATTTTTAGGCAAGAATTACTGGTCTGCTGCCAGCCAGGAGTGTCAGGGCTCTAATCCCCAGGCACCATCACAACCGAACAGATTGTCTAGTTGGGTTGCTGCAGCAACACACTCTTTGCGCAGTTTTTTAGAGGTTGTATAAATCCCCTAGCAGTCTGTCCCCAAGACTTTTTGGGACAGCACAGACCGAGCTGTGGGTGCTGTGCAGTGCGGGTGGACAGGAGCCACACCAAAGCGGGGGCAGAGGCACTGCTGCCCTGCACATGGGCCTGGCAGCTGCCAGAGATGTAGTACAACAAGAGCGGAGGAGAGAGTCACAGAATCATTAAGGTTGGAAAAGACCTTTAAGATCATCAGGTCCAACCATCATGCAGTGCTGGCATGATGCTTGCCTGGAGCACGTCGATGGCCATAGCTCTGGTGACTGTCTCCCAGAGTGAAACTGTTAATGCTGTGCCTGATACTGGCCAAAGGCAGAAGAATTTACCCACAGATGAATGGCAGCAAGAGGAAGGAGCCTTCAATCTCTTGACTTCATGGTTGACTCACCTCTGAGACTTGGGATGCTGCCTGCGTTTCTGGGGTGCTGTTGATTTCTCCTTTCTCTACTCTGCTCTCTTATCCCTTGCCTCCCCCCTGCAGGTACTTTGTTCTCTTCTGCTTAACATACAGGGTCACCTCATCTCTGAATGCCATTTAATCTGTATGATGGAGCCATAAAACTGTAAATTTGCTCCTCCGTTTTATCCCTGACCTTATTTCTCCTTTTTTCTCTGTCTGGCATGGTTTTTAATTTGGGAAGTCCTGTTGAGGAGGGGTTCTTCCTTTTTACCTGTCTTCTTTTATAAAACACGTAGCCACACATTTCATTTTAAGTATGGACTTGTGTGCACTTTTCAACCTCACCTTCTGTGAAGCACAACCCCAACAACCTTCAGAGGTCACAGTCCATACTCCAATGCAGTTTGGGAGCTTTACTCTGGACTTCAGCGTGCACAGGATCAAGCTCTTAGTTTTGGTTAGACCTACAACAGTGGAGTCTGGAACTTGGGAGAACTTTATAGCATTTGTGAGAAAATAGTCAGCAGATGAAAAAACAATGGCTATTTAAAAGCAAAACATGAGAAAAAACACCAGTACTGTATGTCTTTTGGTCTCTTGAGCAAAAGCTGCATACTTCAATGGAAATATGAAGGCATTTTCAAAACTTCAGGCCAATATTTCTGCCTAGGTATTTTCTCTGATCTCTCCTAATCTATTTTTAAATTATCATTCCCAGCATTGAAAACACAAACAAGCAAGCCTCAGGAAAAACTTCTAATGTGGCTATTTGTGTGTAATCCAGCTTGATGAAGTGGCATGTATGAACTGACGTTAGTAGAGAACGCACTCGCCTTCTGTTTGTATTTCCAAAAAAAGTTATCATTTTGTCTTATTTTCAGTGTTTAGTTTAGTACTGGCATGAGGACAATATGGTTAACAAAAATAATAACCCACCTGCACTTTTAAATATCAGAACTGAAGGTTAAGCAATTGCAAGCAGATTCGTATTTAGGTTTAACCCTGCGGCTGCCTGTAGTCCCGTCCCTTTTCAGTGCTGTCCACTTGCTTTTCAGCAAAGAGCGGGCAGGCTGGCTCAGCACTGTGAGTTATCCAGGGCAAAATCCAATCCAAAACACACAGAATCCAAAACACAAAGCTGGCTGCACTTATAGCTAACCATATGGGAACCCTTAGCTACGAGAACTGCCTGCCTGATCGTCCCCGAGCACACTATGGCAGGCAGTGGCTGGTTGCAAGGAGGGAATTGGAGCCGCCTGCTACCTACCGAAATGCTTCCCCTTTTGGTTTGTGGGTAATGGTGGTGCACCAGCAATTAAGCTTAGCATGTAAGGAGCCGCAGCTGAGACTGCCAGAAGGCAGCCTGAAGTAGGCAGAATGTAATTTCCTAAACTGGAATTTGTAAGGGCTTCCACAGGGATTAACCCCTCCTCCTATGGATGTTTCCACTGGTTTGGGTTTCTTTATATTAATGATCAGAAGCAGCTAAGAACTCAGGCTAATTTTTAAAAATTTCTACTTTATTACTTTCTATACAATCTAATAAAATTTTAGAAGGCCCTGAATTTTGGTGGCCCTGCAAGTTGCAGGATTTCTTCACAGAGGAAGCAGGGTACGGGCATTGCTGCAGCCAGCTTTTCCCCACTCCCGTTTGCTCCATGGCTGCCCGCGGTCTGTGCTAAGAGCAGGGAGAGGGTCCGTGCCCGCTCCTTGCGGTGCTCCATACCCCGCTGCGTTAGGGCAGCGGTGACCGCGACGCCGAGTAAGAGGCGTCCGAGTGAGTTTTTAGCTAGATAGCCAGTGTAGCTAAGCCACAGCACACAGGACCTGTGTGCTCATGCTCCCACCCACTTAGTGGACTTTAGAGCCTGCCAATACCCAAAAAAGCCTGTTTGAGACTGGCTTGTATGTCTCCATGGAAGGCAGTGGGAAAGTGTAGATGCCACTTCAAACAACCAAGCTTCAGACAAGTAAATTCATGTCTTGTAGGGTACAGCAGGGAGCAACACACCAGGTGTAAACACTGTTTAACAATATAAACCAGACTGTACTGGAATCCATGGGAGAAGACAAAGTTTGATATTCTGTGAATAATCTTTGCAACTATCAAATTTCATCTTCGTTACTGAAGACTGCAAGCCAAAGGGAGCATCCAGGAATACCCCTGCTCAACCCTGTCATCCTTTATGTTACAGCCACAGAGAGCGAGCTCAGTGTGTCTGAAGGAAACAGTGTTGGGGCAGCTACTCTCAAAATGTAAGGATAAAGTTGCTCATGACCTGGCTTCTAGCAGGGAGAGGGAAAAACAAGTCTAAAGAGCCGCTGAAATAGGTATTTGGGTCTCTACAGTGGCTCACTCATGGAGGTGGCACCCGGGTGTCCCAGGGAACAGAGCTGTATGGGTGAAGGGTGAGTAGGTGGGGTATCTGTCACGGAGTGGGAAGAAGGAGTGCTGTGTTGAAGATACAGTGGAGGTATCTTCTCTGTAGGAAGAAGGGGGTTGTCTTCTGCTACGGCCACAGAACTCCCTGTGGGTAGCAGGACCGTGGTCCCAAGGCGCAGAATCCGTGCTGCTGTTCAGCAATCTGCTGCATGTCAGCTTTGGCTTCACCTCCTCCTCTCCCTCTGCTGGAGGAGGTTGCTTTATGGTGATTCTCTGTGCAGCCTGGTCATAATTAAAATTATGAGATCTCTTAAAAAATGCAGTGGCAATAGAATCTTCCTAGAAGTAGCTCTTGAGAGACATGGAGGTAAAACTTGCAGAGGCCTTTTGAGAGAAAAATTGTTGCCTATTACACATTTTTATTGCCCTCTCAAATATGACATCTTCTGTTGTTCTTTTTTCAGGGGTCAACATTCAAAGACTAGACTTAGTGCAGCCAGAAGGCTTCCGCATTATCTTGGTCCAACAAAAGACATCTTCTGATCGGTCTTTCCAGCTTCTCCTTTCACATGCAGTTGCAATAGGATGTTTCTCATTAGTAACTCATTATTGCATTTACATTTTGCATAGAGCAACCTACAAATGTCATGTAGTTAATCCACTCATATTTCTGTGTAGCTGTTTTGAAGTAGATGGGCTGTATTTACCATTAGGGCAACCCCAGGTTGCGTTCTAGAGTAGAGATTAGGAAGGTGGAATGTAACTTAAAAGGCAGACAAAGAGGTTTGGGAACAGAAAATATTTCTCCATCTTGGGGATTTCACTAGGCATGTCTCTCCTTTAGTTGAGGTTGCAGATATTGAGTTCTTTTTATCCTGAATTACTCTATTTGCAATTTTACTTTTTCAGATCTCTGTTGAAGAACTTGAAAGAAGTTTGGTTATAAAGGTGAACAGGGATGCGGTTATGAAAATAGCTGTCTCAGGGGATCTGTTTACTCTAGACAAAGGACTGTATCAGCTGAATTTGACAGTAGGAGGCATTCCTTTCAAAACAAAGGACCTTATTCTACCAGTAAGTATAGCACTATAGTTTGTGTTGTTTTGCATGCCTGAAGGACTTGATTTCATCTTCCCTTGGGGTAATGTAGGTCCTTCCTGAGAGCAGTTCACCCTGCCCTGAAACAGGTGGAATTAACACCTTCTGGATACAGATTTCTCTCCATTGACTATAGAGGGAGCCTAAGGCAGTAGCAAAGGTGAGACTCCTGGATAAGTTTGGGTGAGATGCATCACACCCTTGGCCCTCAGAATTAGGACATGGCAAAACTGAAGCACATGACAAAAGTAACAGTGGTTGTGCTGGCTTGGAGACCATGAGTGGCCCTGGGGGCTCAGTGGACACACCACTGTGGGAGGGTACCACTGTGCCCACTAGGTCTGGAAACAGCATTGGGGGCACTTTTTGTGTTGTGACTGAAGCTTGTGCTTCATGTATATTGTATCACAGTTTTGCTGCTTGTGTTTGTTGTTTCAGTTTAGTAAGACCTAAGGAAAAATGGAAGCTTATTTTTCTTTATTTCCTCCTAATTCAAGTAGACAGGGCATACGAATAAAAGTTAAGGCACTCTGGGTGAGATTGGCTGATTGCTGTGTTTCTTAAATAGCTGCTGCTCAGGCTGTTTTGAATGTCCACCACACACAGAGTTGGCACCTTGAAACCCAAATTGGCATCTCTTTATTTCTAAATGAGGTGACAAGCTTGTGGCTCTGTGACTGGGAGTGCAGCAGCTGAGGAAGTCTCCTGTTCCTCACAAGAAGTCATTCAGGGCCACTGCTTGGCTGAAACATTAAGCTCAGGCTATGGTCTGAACATAGGATTGAGAGCCAAAAACTCCTGAGGTTTTGATCCTGGCTCAGACACTTAATTTTCTCCCTGCTTCAGTTAATTGGGCGTAATGGTGCTGATTTAGATGGTTTGCAAGAAGCCTTCTCTTTACATACTGTCTCACATTTTAATGCTGACATTTCGTATGGGATAACGTAACTAGAGGCTGGAAGGAACAAGGTGTGTCCAGAGTGGTGTGCCCGTCTTGTGGCTCAGGCACCTCTCCCTTAAGCCAGAACCCAATAACTTATGCCGTGATCAGGCGCAACATCTTGTGTGTCATGAAGGATTGCTTTTTTTAACTGCAAGTTAGCCTCCGGCATTTGCAATGCAGAATTACAGGAGTTACATAGCTTTGGCTACAAAGCTTCAGAAGTAAATTGCACTTTGTAAATTGTAAATGTGCAGCATGTGGAAGCAGCTAACAGAATCAATACAGCCAAATCAGCACCTGCATTAGCTAGTGCCATTCTGTCCTGTGGAGACAAGCTGAGCTCAGGGGAGTTTCCTGAGGAATACTGACCACTTACTTGCTTGGAGTTGCGGGACTGGGGTTGCCACCAGTTGGTTTGCATGTTCATAACACATTGAAATGATTTCCCCTATTTGATATCACAATATAACTCAGGGTTCCTCTGCACTTGAAATCAGTTGTTCTTCACTGAATAGTACTTTGAGGCATGAGATACTGCTTTATCTTCCTAGATAAACCCTCGGCTGGATGGTTGCATGCAGGCATGGAACTGGCTGAATGGGGAGGACAGCACTATCCAGGAGACCATAAAGATGAATGAAAAGATGCAATGCTTTTCTGTAGCAGGACGAGGGTCTTTCTATCCTGGCCGAGGTTTTGTTGTGTTTAATCTTACTTACAGTAAGTACTTTTTTTTTTTTTTTTTTTTTTTTTATTTTCTGACCTGTTGTCCTGCCATTAACCATACTTGGTTAATAAACAGTTTAAAACTTACATGTATGCCAGGCTTCTGTTGATCGAAGCAGAAAAGTCTGGCAGCTGTGAATGGAGAGGGAATAGCTAAACTTGTGGCTTATAGCGAAGGAAGGCCTATGTATGATGCCCAGCATGGATTAGGTTCTCTCTGTGTAGCTCCAGTAATGCATTTCACACCCAGGCTGGCTCAAGCTCATCTTAAGCATTAGGGGCTTCACATCCCTCTGGCAGAAGTGTAACTGGTTCCAGCCCTATCTGCTGTTTTCTCCTAAACAGGAAAAGCTGCAAGCCATACTGCTATATAATGAGTTTATGATGGACAGAAAATCAATATTGTCTGTAGCAAAATGTCCAAGATCAGATTCACTTCTAATCCTTGGGTGGTATTTGTTACACTCGAGACAAACATACTAAGTGTGCAAACTGATACAAACTGAATGAAATTGGCCTAGGTACAGTAATAACAAGTTTCAAACCCAACTTGGCCATACTAATTTAGCACTCAGAAAGACAACTTTTTGTTGTTCTGGATTATTCTGTTTGTTTAATATGTGCAATCAACTGTCAGTATTTTTAAATCCATACAAATGCCAACCATCTATTTTAGTTTTGTGTGCAAGTCCTCCTTTGTAGAAGCCTCCTGTGTATCACTGTATGGATTTTTCTGCTGTGCCATTGTAAATTAGGGGGTATCAGGTGTCTGTCATCTTGTTTACCACATGGATTCAAAAGCTGCAAAGTAGACACAATGCAGAATCTGAAGTGCAGGTGACAGCACTCAGCAGAGATGAAGCCTCAGCACCTGCATTTTTATATTCTTTTTTCTACAAACAATAATACTCCTTTTTTTTTCTTTGGCTTTATAACAGTAAGCTTTATAAATAACTTTATTGTATTTCCAGATGTGGTGAACCAGCATAGCTAATACTACTATGTAGGGAGATTGCAGAAACGATACTGAAATCTTTCTTTGTAGCCAGCATGACCTTTTAGATTACAAGGGTACTGGGTCAGTAAGAAAGATGCCAGAGAGTTTAATTCAGAGTTCAGCAG